ATGCTTGATCAAGTAGATATATCCATATCTGCTATAATCGTCAGTGAAAGTCACATAGAATCGATTAGCATCTCTTGTAGTTGATCTGAAGGGCCCACACACATCTGTGTGTATGAGATCCAACAGACCTTCACCTCTTTCACAAGACCCTGTGAATGGTGATTTTGTCATCTTTCCCAAAAGACAAGATTCACACATATCATCTGATTTTAGGTCAAATGATTCCAACACTCCATCCTTTTGGAGTTGGGCTATGCGTTTCTTGTTAATGTGTCCAAGACGACAATGCCACAAGCATGCCTTGTCTACACTATTAGACAAGTCAATATTAAGTACACTATTTCCTAAGCTATCAACACAAGTCACTGTTTCATACACACCATCACAAGGTAAAGCTTCAAACATAAAAACACCATTCTTATAAACAGAAATTGAACCATTCAAATCATTAAAAGAATATTTGAAACCTTGTCTGAACAATGCATGAAATGAAATAATGTTTCGTCATCTCAGATGAATAGCAACAATTTATTAAATCTAATCTAACATCATTGCTAAGCAGAAGCTGATAAACTCCGATCTTGGTCACTGGTGAAGACTTTCTGTTTCCCATGATCAAGTTTATCCTTCCTCGCTCTATCTCCTCACTTTCCTTTAGTCCCTACAAATCAGAACAGATATGAAAACCACATCCTGTATCAAGGACCCATGAACGAGAAGATAATGAGTTATTAGCAGAAATAGTGTAAATACCTGCCGAAGATGGCTTCACTTTGCCATCCTTGATATCTTGCAGATATTGTGGGCAAGATCTCTTCCAATGCCCCTTTTGATTGCAGTAAAAGCAAACGGCCACTTTTGGATCAGAAACATGGGGAGTAGAACCATTGGGCTTAGCCTTTGGGCCATTACTAGACGACCCAGCTTGAGCCTTGCTCTTCCAGTTTTGCTTGGGAGGACCTTTCCTCTTTTTCCCCTTTCCCTGTCCAATAGCCAATACAGGGGCACTTGTAGGCGTGGAGGGTATACTTTTACCCTTCATTCCTGCCTCAGCTGTCTGCAACAAGTTGTGCAATTGGGCCAGGTCTGCTCAGTATTTTCAAATGGTAAGTTAGAATAAACTGACCATAACAATCAGGTAGTGAGTTCAAGACCATGTCAATGGCCAATTCCTCATCAAAGTGAATGTTGAGCTTGACCAAACGCTCTTTGTAGCGTTGCATTCTTTGCACATGTGACACAACCGATTCCCCTTCTTTCATCTTGCAAGCCATGAGTGACTTGACTACTTCAAACTTTTCTTGACGAGCTCGCTTATGGTACTTTTCCATAAGGTCCTTGTTCATCTCAAAAGGCCAGTAGTCCTCATAGTACCTCTGCAGTTCTGGGGACATGGTTGCCACCATGATGCACGCCACTTTGGTAGCATCATCGTAATGTTTCTTGTAGGCAGCAAGATCTTCAGGAGTAGCTTCAGACTCATCAAGCTCTTTGAGCTCCTTTTCAAGAACATATTATTTGTTCTTAAAACGAAGAGCCATCTTGATGTTGCGCATCCAATCGTTATAGTTTGAGCCATCCATAACGACTTTGGAGCAGATATTGAGCAAAGAGAAGTTCTGGTTGGAGGAGGATGAAGCAGGAGTGTTTCCAGGAGTAGACATCTGAAAAGAAAGAAAGTTTTAGTTAGATTTCAAGATACCTCAATATAATAACCCAAAGATAAAATATCAAGGTTAGGATCCAACTATGAAGATTCGCAACTTAGAAATGGGATGCCGAGATCCAAGTGTAAATTTCATAAAGGTAGGTGAATGACGATTCACCAATTCCACCATTAGACGAAACAAACGAAGTGAAATTCCTAATTCTTTTGAGATACATTGAAACTATTCAATGACATGTTTTAATCTCAGATTATGCTCTTCTATTTGTGACTGGGATGCCGAGGATCACAAACAAGATGTGAATAACCATGCAAATGTGTTTGGTAACCTCATTGTCTTTATCGTTAACTATTGATGTGCTGGTAAACCACACACGCTCCATCAAAATGACAATTATGAGATACCCATTACTACTCTTTATTAGTGCCCTTTAGTGTGCTGGTTAACCACACACGCTCCACTAACGACCAATAAAGCATAATGTGCAATTTCATGGATTAGCATACTTTTCACATTTTTCCTAAAGTAACTAGAGTTGGGATTTTAAAAATACTGTTCTAGTACTTTCTTTAATGTCATTATACTTTTAATGAGAAGTAGTTGTCCTATCAAATCCGTTCTGCTAACGACCCTCCACTAATCAAGGAAGCGGTGGGTGAGAGTGGACACCCATTCAACTACCATTTTATAGGCAGTTTCCTTATACCCCTCTTATAGATTAGCTCCGTGAATGAGGCATACTAGCGATTTGACTGACCATATTCTTATACATATATAATATTAAACTTTTAATCATAATACATATATAGGGTGTGTTTTAAAACATTTTAAAACTTCAAGGTTATATAAATTTCGAAATTCAAACTATTAAATTTAAATTTAAATAAACCAATTAACTAGATTTAATATTTATCTTTTAATCAACTATTAATCAAATTATTAAATCTTGTAATGATTATCTAATTAAACTAATCAATTAATTTAATCCTAATCCTTATCCCTCTAAATTTCGAAAAATAGGGTAAGGATAATTATCCAATTAATATAATTAAGTAACAATTATCCAAAACAAGAAACTCTAAAACTTCTAGCAATTTCGAAATTTACAAGGGAGGAGGCTAGGGTTTTCAAAACCCTAACCCTAATTTCGATTAGGGTTCTTTGGAGGCTAGGGTTTTCGAAAAACCCCTTTTATCCAAAACCCTAGAAATCGAAAATTTGGCCTTTAGGGTTTAATAGCTATAAACCCTAATTTGCAATTCAACAATTATAGCAATTCAATTTAAAACAAATAATGGCTCTGATACCACTGATGGGATTTAGGTAAAACAAACAAACTAGAAAACAATTCCTATGTTCACATGCAACCTACTTGGGATCTATGTTTTTGATCTATTGAACATATAACTTTGAATTGCAAAACAAGAACCCTAGAGGAGAGGGGCTAATTTCGAAATTAACAAACTAGGGTTTAGGAGTTACATACCTTTCAATTGTTATAGCAAACAATTGATAATCCTCTTGATCTTGATCTTGATCTTCTTGGAAGCTTAGCACCACAAATGTAATGCCTCTAATGGAATCACACCCAAGAACTAGCAAGAAGGAAACTTTGAGGAGAGAGGATGGAGAGAGTATGCAACTTCGGCCTTAGGGTTTCTTCCAAAGAAATCAGTGACCTCAAATGTGAGCCAGGAGGCTCCTTAAATAGCTGAGGGATCTAGGGTTTAGGGAAAACCCTAGTTATCCTTTGCTTAGGGCCTAAGCAAGATCCAAAGGCCTTATTTGGACCCCTTGGACGAAATCTCTAGGGTTTCCCCTAAGAATTTCGTCCACCTCCTTCCAAGGGGGTTCTGGAACCTTCAACTCAACTATTAGTTAATTGCAAACTAGTCCCTGCACTTTATAATTAATTCTTTTAACCCCAAAATTAATTCTGATTAATTTTTGGCTAACTATTAATTAAACATAATGATTTCTAATTAATATATTAATCTTTTAACATATTAATAAATCATTTATATTAATTCATTAATCTTATAAATTAATATCTCTCCTTTCATAATTTCATTGTCCAGTTGCTAGGTTGAGGGCAACCCAAAAAGACTGTGCTGCTATCAATTCAAGTTCATACCAATTATAGTTATGGGCTTAGACACCTAATCCAACACCATTCTTGTAATTTACTCTAGTTTTAGTCAACATCATGTAAGTGGTCTTCGAATATATTTATGATCGTTTGATTTTGTGTTCCATTTACAGTTGATGTTGAAAATTTTGTGGATCACAAATATATTGTCACGATCTCTACAAAGAAAGGATCAAGATATCATGAATGCTATAAGTTTGGTGAAATCAATCGTTGCAACGTTAAAAAAGATAAGAAATGATGGATTTTGATTCACTTATGTTGGACATCGCCTCTTTTTGTGAGAATAATGAAATTCAAATGTTGAACATGGAGGATATTTATGTTAACCTAAGAAATCGAAGACAACATACCAATATCTCCAATCGCCATTATTATGAGTTTTTTTGTTTTAACATGGTTTTGGATATGCAAATTCAAGAGTTCGGTGATCGTTTTAGTGAAGTAACTTCCGCGTTGCTTATTTGTATGACAGGTTTGAATCCACATGATTCATTTTGTGACTTTGACCCATCAAAGTTACGGAAGTTGATCGATTTTTATCCACATGATTTTAGCTATAAAGATAGGATGAATATTCTACATGAACTTTCGGTTTACCCTTCTCATATGCAACAAGATGGAAGATTTGCTATTTTGAAGAGTATATCCAACCTTGCTAAAGTGATGGTGGAAACCGATATGCATCTTTCCTTTCCATTGATTTATCGGTTAGTGAAGTTGCCATTGGTCTTGCCGGTTGCAACCGCAACGGTGGAGAGATGTTTTTCCGTGATGAAGCTTGTAAAGTCGGATTTGCGGAATCGAATTTGGTACGAATTTTTAAATGATTTGTAATTTGCACGGTTGAAAGAGAATGATTTTCCAAGGTTACAACTGAAAATATTATCAAACGTTTCTTAGCTATGTGTCCCCGTAGATTTCAATTGTAAAATGACATTTAGTTGTAAATTTTAATGTTATTTTACTTTTTATTACTTTGTTTTATTAATTTCCACGGTCAATGGTTGTGCATTCCACTTGACTTTCGGGCTGAAACCGCCACCGGGAATGTTGTAGTACATTATGAAAGATTTTTTTCACCAAAAACGCGTTAGTCATTGATATGCATTATAAGTTAATGACATATAGTAGACTGTAATTATTAAAGATCACATATGTTTTTAGAATGTAATTCTTTCCTTGCTTCATACATGCACTTTCATCTTTTCGAGAAATTCACAATACTTCTAATGTGCTTACAATTACAAAAGAAAAAAAAATAACGAAAATAATATTTACATAAAAAGTCCATATTTACATGTGTCCAAAGTCAACGAAACTTTATATTTTTTATAATAAAGAAAATTCATGTTCTCGAGACACCATCTTCTATAATATATTTGAGAAAAGAATGTTACCCTTTGTCAAAGGTACAACATTCGGTGCTTATGGTACAACATTCCTATATGAAGGACATAGATGCTGTCCTTTATGATATTCCGAAAGCAAATTAACCTACATTCATTCATTAAATATTATATCATGTAGTCTAGCTTCTTCTTTTTTCATTCAGTAAATACAAAAAATAATATGTATTATCCCTATATTAATTACCTTGATGATTTCCCACTTAGAGCTAGGACGCACATATGCCGCCAAAATCGCCATGTGAAAATGCTGTTATCAACATTCAATTCAACAACACAATATGCCACTTCCAAAATGTCAAAACTAGTTACATTTTTGGTCCCTGAGTATAGCTGATTTTTACAATTTTCATCCCAAAAAAGTTTGATTTGAGCAGATCTAACTAAAATGACCATATTTGGTCCCTGAGTAGAGCTGATTTTTGCAATTTCAGTCCTAAAAATATAGTCATTTTATATAAATAAAAAAGAATTGCAACAGAAAAGTTTTTGGGGCCAAATTTGGAAGAATGAATTATATATAATCAATTAATCAGGGACCAAAAATGTAATTTGATCTTAAATTAAAAAAAAAAAAAAAAAAACTTACTCTAAATGGATCTCCTCTTAGAGACTGCACAAACATCAAACTCCTGGCGTTTTGACCCTGAATAATAAAAGACACCCAATACCAAAACAGTTAAAAACTTTAAATAATTGGGATTAATAATTTTGTTTTAATTAAAAATAGTACCTCTAAGTATATATCCCTGAGTCGTCTTCCAGTTTGAGCACAACACACACGAACAACAGGTTCATCACAACTCCCACTAATTATATAATCTCTCCCATTCATATAATAAGAACGCGTATAATTTTGACCACTTCCTGTTGGAGCTATATCAAAATTTGTATGAAGCCTCCCATCTACAGCCAATAGTTGTTTAACCTACCACCAACAAATACCAACCTACTTAATTTCCAACCTTTTTTTATTCATTATAAATAAATAAAGTGAATTTAAATTTAAATTTAAATTTAAAATACCTCATTGTCGACAGCTGATACGAGCAAATAGAGGTCATCAGGGGAGAAACAAACCATTACATTTCCACTTGAACTTGAAGCTGTGTAACACGGGTTTACAAGTTTTGTTCTCAAGTCCCACATTTTGATATTGTGGTCAAATGATGAAGTGACAAAGAGAGAGGGGGAATGATGTGCAAATTTGGCAACATTTATGGGTTCTTTATGCATGTCGCTGAAGAAATGAAGGCGTTTTCCTGTTGAAATATCGTAGATTGCAACTTTTTTTGAGTAGCCACTTGTGAGGATTTGATCGTCTGTTGCATTCACATGAACGGAAGTCAAATGATGAAAGTCAACAAAAGGGACACCAGTAGAATTGCGACAGGTGTCAAGGGCTTCTGGAAGTGTGTCATTTATGTCGTATAATCTCAATGATCCGTTATCATATCCCACAACAACCTATTAAAAAAATTCAATTGTTATTTCTTGATTTTAGCCTTTTTAAGAACCATGTTTAACATTAACATTTAACACATACCTTAGATGGGAATCTCTTGAGCCAACATAGGCCAAGAACACTCTTATTTGTATCAAAGGAAGGAACATAACTAACAAGATTCCCTGTTTCATGGTTGATGACAACTACTTCTCCTTCTAGAGTTCCAAACGCCATTAAACTTGGATCTGTTTGATGATACTCAAACTGCCTTGGTCTTAAAATCTTTCCCTCTTCTTTCCCTATTTGACTAATAATGGAAATTGGATGTAAAACAGGCCATGCGGATGAGCCAAGTTTAGCAGCACATAGCGACCTTGAATAAAAACTTTGACTTTTTCCATGTAGTGATGGATTTTTAGAAGTCAAAGATTTTTTGTTGACCATGCTACTTGTTCCTCCTGTTTCACGCATATGCAATACACTAATGATACTCTCTTTATGTTGTCGTTTATTTGGTAATAACTCGTAGTATCTTGAGAACACAATCTTGGCTCTTTCTCTATCCAGTTTTCCTATGCGACAGTTATCCAAAACTTGTAATTTTGGTAATGAAACAATCATATACTCCCTATAATGTTTCTGAAAGCAGATAGGTGAAGGATGATGCCAGTTGTACTTTTGTGAAACGTGTTTATCAAAAGAAATTACCTGGAAAGTACAGTGATGATTTATTAAGTTATTAACATAACAGAGTTCATGAAAGTAAGTAACAATGAGATGTGAAATGATGTTTTTCTGACTTCATGAATGAGTGAAGAAGCTTTGGTGGTGTGTTCATCTTTCAAATGGCATGGGGATGTGTCCTTGCAACATAAACAGTTTTGAAAGCGAAGTTGGAGCAATGAAGGAAGTTTTGATAGGGCTGCAGTTGTGGTCCAAAGATTGGAGATTCTTGTGGCACACATTGAGACACGTGTCAAATTAGGCATGTGAGTGAAGCAATCTTTCTCCATGGTAGAAAGTGAGGTGCAAAAATCCAGATTAAGGGTGTGCATATGAATGAATTTTCCAGCCATGTTGAGCTTTTGAATCTCTGTTGACTTTATGTTCAAAACTTGGCAGTGTAGACCAGTCTCAAAAAGATCCCTGGAAATGTTTAAATCCGGTATAAAAATACTACTTTAACTATGTATGTTTATGTTCATCCTGTAAAGGGTATTATTGGTATTTATGTATATTGTAACTTTGTAAGTGAAAGATGAGTATGGAGTTTTTTATGTGGTCAATCTGATGGAAGCCACAAAATACACCTTGCGACATCTTCCTTTAATGGCATATCCTTGATATCAACAATGCGAAGCTTTTTGTTGATAGCATGCATCAGTGACAACACAGCATATCCATTTAAGTCACCACTTGATTCATGAAGCAAGTCAATGTTGTCGAGGGCATTTGAGTCATTTGAGTGGAAAAGATCAGTGAGAAGAAACAAATCAGTGTTGCTAAGTTGGTTTAGTGAAATCACTGTTGTAGATTTTTGGCATGTCATGTTCTGAATCGAGGCCTAATGGAAAGGAGAGAAATATGTTAGGTGTCGGATATTACTTCAATGTGGAAATAATATTTTTATATACCATTAATAGAAAAGGGAATGAAAATAAGGAGAATGAAGATTTAAAGAGTATGTTTGACCTTCTTTAACAATGAAACAACAGCTGAAGTAGGTTGCACCTCATGCATCTCGCAGATTTCAAAGTACCTATAGCACACATACAAGATGTGTTTAATATCTTTCTTTTCAGTTGCCACTGAGGAAATTCAAAGGATCTGATATACAAGTTTGCAAATAGGAGTTTGTTTATCAATTTTCTACTTGGATTATCATAAAGTAGCTAATGATTCACTTACTTAACACGTGGATCAAAGAGACAAGGCTCGATTATAGTTCACAAAATTACCAAAATGTTGACTCGGAATTTGTGGAAGTATGTTTGAAAATTAAAACGTTTAATCTCTATGGTTAAATTGTACCTCTTCCATGTAATTATACTTTATCTTCTTCAAACAGCAATAAATCATAGCAAAAGTTTTGTGAAAAAGGAACTCGATATTCTTCCATTGACGTTAAAGGAGGTGTTTGATTTGCATTTTCAAAGTGATTATTGCGACTTGAAGAATCAAATAACCAGTTGCTTAAAGCAAGGATAATCTGATAAATTTTCAGTTAAGCAACTTCTTGCTCATTAGAAAATCGGTTTAGCCGAACACTCAAAAAGTCAAAAGTGTTTATTGAGACATGAAATTTCAATAAGCAGTTAATAGCGCATCCTAACTCCCCCATAATCGATGTATGATAGTTCACAAACTTGCACTTATTTTGAAGTATCAAGCTGCTGCACTTTAACACTTTTAGTCTTTGGTTTGCAGTGGAACAGGTCAGCTCAGATCATATACATCATTCATCTTCCAAACGTAAGAAATTAAAACTTAAACAACAACTTCAGTGATCAACAAAAGCTAAATCAGAGGATATTGTGCCGATTTCGCTAACAGAACCGCTAATAAGCAGGTAATTTTTAACACACGTATAATACATATATAAAATCCAAAGTTAATTTTTCTCGCTGTCAATTTGTAATTGGAGCCATAAGGATTCTTCACAAAATGATTTCCCGTAACAGTAAACAAACTCGAACACAAATCTCACAATCAGTAAACTGAAGTAAAAAATTTCCAAATATCATAGTACTTTGAAGAACAAAAGAATCACAATGCACAAAAACTTCGCCGTTGATACCAGAAATCAGCCGAAGATTCGAATCAAATGACAGAAGACGAAAAATGTGGAGTTGCAGAAATAAAACAAACCTGGTGAGTAAAACGGAGATATGTGGAGGGGAAGACATCGCTAGCTGTCGATTCGAGTGCATCCACTTGATCTGCACATGAAATTTGCAGAGAGAATAGAGTATGAAAATGAGTTGAGATCCTCTCTTGCTTATAAGCCAACTAACTTATTATATCTTATGGACAAAATGCGATGTCACAAGCAAACAAGGCTCCTCCCTCCTCTTCGTGTGATAAAATTTTCTACGTGTTGTCTTCCCCAACAGATAATTCCACGTGGGATGACCAAATTACTCGTATAATAATATAATATATGTAAGTTTTTTTGTTTCTTGAATCTTGATAGTTTAATTACCTAAGTCGAGCGTTCAACAAATAGAGAAAACTATAATACAAAAGATAAATAGAAAATAATAAAAATGCATATGACAAGAAAAGGTTTATAATTCTTTCGCTTTTTTTTTATGAAAAAACACATTTTAGCTTCAAACTTTTATTATCGAAAGTAGTTGTAAGACTTATATATTATATGAGTTAATTTAAAAAAAATTTAAATATAAAGGTTCAATTATTTGATAACTTTGAACTTATAAAAATAATGAATATTATAATGAAAATTCTTTTATCTTTTAAATTTTAATAAATAAACAAAATAAACTAATGAGCTTTAATTTTGAAAATTTTGAAATTAAAAGGTAAGTTGATTAATAAAATTGATATCCATTTATTACTACATTTATTGCAATTATTACATTAAAATATTATGTGAAATTTAATAAAATAAAAAAACTAATAAAATAACATGTAGAAAAAAATTAATTCAAAATAATAATAAAATGATATTTGACAATTTAAATGAAAGTATGACAATTTATAAAAAAAAAAAAAAAAAAAAAAAACTTTTATCTATTAAATAGATATTAAAGTAGATTTGATTGTCCGTAAATGATTTTGTAGAATATAATCCTGATAAATTGTGGATGTGACACGTGGATCCACATAATAATTAATCATACGATAAATATGATTTTGGTGGTCCCGTAAGTGGTTATCATATCAATTTCTCTTAAGTTTTTATTGGGTTTTTGATAAGGTTAGGCACTTAGGCTTAGAAAAGAAATGTATTTCATAAATATTAAATTGATTAAATTACAGAAATGGTCATCGGTGGTTTACTCAAATTCGTACTTTGAGTTTAGTTTAAAAAAATTTGACATGGACAAATATTTTAGTTTTGTTTTTTTCTTGCAGTTGTCACTAACTCCACCAATAATCGATCATTGAGTGCATCGAAAAAAAAATATGTTTTTATCCATTTTTTATTTAGTATTATATTTGATATTTCTGTTTGCTATCATTATAAAAATAAAATCATCATTATTATTATTATAAACATCAATGGAAACAAATTTGGAACAAGATGAACACAAACGTAGACAATGAAGACCTGGGTAATTCATTTTCCTCCGATCCAAATAGGAGCTTAAATCCAGAAAACCTATGAAGGAACACCTAGATGATCATCTGATGTATAATCTTCCACATTATTCGCCGAACACGAAAATGATTCATGGATTGATTAGAAACACATGGATGAGCACTAGAATGAACTACATATGGGTAACCAAAATTTTAGAAACCAAAAAGATGAATATGAATATGTTTGAAATATCAAAATCCTAAACCCAAAACCACTTCCACACTATGAAAACTTACAAAGGAAATCACATATTCAGATCCACGTTCTTGGAAAAAAAAAAATCGTCATATCCATATCCATATATCTAAAGGCTCGAGATCCATATGACCATATCCCTTAGCATCTATGGTGATGCATCTCAGTCCTTCCCTATAAACACCTTCCTGGAAACGTGAATGAGGATTGTTATACTAATGTTTTTGCTGGTATCTTCAAAACGCTATAAATACCCCTCGACTACCCTTCAGCAATTCCTAAAGGAGTATCTTCAATGAACATCCAATTAGGTGATATACTATGACACACCCACACACACATGTCCCATCAATAGGGATTTATATACCAACACTCTTCCTAAAAGGCAAACCCACACTAGACTTTAACATTTTAAGGTTCCACCCAAAATCAAGATATTACATCTCAATAAGAATTTTTTTCGTTTTATTGCCAAAAAAACCATCTATCCTTCCAATGATTTGTTGAGAAAGTCAAGAAATAATATTTATGCCCATAAAATTAAAAGCCTCTTACACAAAAAATCTCCCACTACCAACCAAAGAGTGTCGGTCTATTATCAATTCAATACACGTATTTAAGGCTGTAAACGAACCGAAAATTCAATGAACCGTTTGACGGAAAGTTTGTTTATGTAGTGAATGAACGTATATGAACAATATTTTCTATTTGTTTAGTTAAATGAATGAACATGAACAATGGTCTCATTCGTTTGTTTATGTTATTTCATTCGATTATCTTCATTTATTATATTACATTATGCATATAATATTAATGAAAGTAGAGTTTTTAAGAGCAACTTAAGTTTTACAATTTCTAGGTTTGGTAAAAATATAAAAGTGACACTACAATGTAGGATCAACATATTAGTAATGTTGACAATCAAATTTTATGGTTTTTTATCTGAATTTTTATATTCATTTATATTCGTTTATGATCATATATGTTTATTTATGTTTTTTATGTTTGTTTGTTTATGATCATTTATGTTTGTGTAGCATCTTAACCTACATAAACTAATGACCATGAACAAGGTAATTTGTCAAACAAATGAACATGAATAATGAAATTTCATTCATTTTATTGGTTCATGTTGGTGCCTTTGTTCAGTTAATTTAAACAAACAAACTTGAAGAAACCTTTACTCATGCATGTTCGATGCGTTTACAACCTTATACGCATATGTTATGTCGAGTGGGGAAGTGGGAAGACGAGGTCAATTGGAGGATGATATGGGCGTACTCACCAGAAATTGAGAGAAAGAGAGAATGATTAAAAGGATATATTGTTTGTATTTTAATACTAATAGTAATATTATACTCCCTCCGTCCTAAAATTATTGTCCACCTTACTATTTTAGTTTGTCCCAAAATTATTGTCCACTATCAAAAGTAGATATACACTTTTACCAAATTACCCCTAACATTTAATAAAGTAAACTTGAATAATTACAAACACACATTTCTCATTGGTTTTAGAAAATGGCAAGATGGTCATTTTATTCAAAAAGACAAAACTAATGATTGCTTTTCTTAATCTATGTGTTTTTTGTTTGTAGACAATACTTTTGGGACGGGGGGGGGGGGGGGGGGGGGTAATAAAGGTAAAATTACAAATGAAAAAAAATCCTATTGAATTTAACAAAAATGATTAAAAGAGTTTGTAATAAATACCAACCATGAAAGAAATTGATCGTTAGGGTGCAAATTTTAGGGTAACGCATGGTCCATTTCTAGAATGTACTAAATTAGTATGTATTTATATAAAAAAAATCATTTCATATCAATATTTAGCTTGTAAGGCTGTCCGGTATACCAATTACTAACATAAATGTGGCGGGGAGTCATGTCACTATCCACACAAACACTGCATAAGAAGTTGACGGAAATGTCTCTTTCAACAAAAGGTTGAGGGTTCAAGTTTTGCTAGAGACAAAGGATGTAAATTTATGAGTAGAATAGTTGGTGCGTTTGTTAGTCTTTCTAAAAAAATGATTGTATACTTACCACTACACATCCTTTTTTATAATTAAAAATAAATGAAAAGATAATGTGACATCCCCCATTTTTCAGAACCAATTAAAATTTTTTCTTTACGTTTTAAAAATATCATTTGTTTTTGTTATGGAAAATCCTAGTTAAATAAAACATTTTGAGATTACAAATATTGTTTCAAAAATTACAAATCATTAAGGATGTCATAATTAAATATCCAACATAGGTTACAGCATAAAGACATAAGTTCCGCTACATATGATGCATATAAATTGAATGGGTCGGGTTTGGGAAACCTGGTGTAACGTCCCAAAATTCGTAGTAAAATTTTCATTTTTAAAACAATAAACCATACAAACGAGTTGTTCCAAAACCAATCAAAGTGAATATATTATTTAAACATCAGAGTAAATATCATAAATTGCCAATGCGGAAAACTCTGGAGGATGTTGTGCAGTCACGACGGGCCCTTCCATTTGGAACTGGAAGTACCTGAAACCATAAATATGAAACTGTAAGCACAAAGCTTAGTGAGTTCCCCCAAAATACTGTGTACCATACATACAATAGAGATTGATATGTGTCATCCATAGTCTTATAATTGTCATTATGCCTTGAGCTGTATCATGGTCTTCCGTTGCCAGGCCGAGGCCAAAACCCTGGGTCTTACAGATAAGTGCCAAGAGCCGTCTCCTGGTCTTCCATGTAAGTATCACAAAGACAACTAGCATACTACATATAACTGTCAGGGTCCGGTCCCTAGTCTTGCATACAATTTGCTGGGAGCCACCTCCTGATCTTTCATACAAATGTCAGGAGCAACCCTCTGGTCTTCCTATATAACATAAACCAGTGGGCTGGCATTGGTGCCTTTCACCCCTAAGTACAGTGAGGAGACTCGCCTGAATCACAATGCTTACTAAAACCTTGCGCAATGCCGCAACGACCACAACCAACAACTCTCACCGCCAAAAGATGGGTGCAAAACACCTCCTAACAATCCACACAAGACAAACCTTAAGTCTACCTTCAAAAAAATAGAGATTGACCAAAAGTCAACCCATGCCAAAAGTCAACGGCCAAAGTTGACTTTAGCCAACTGCCACGTCGTGGCCTTCACCCAACCAAACATACATGAAATTCCCATTTGTCACGCCGTGGGGACCTATTCCATGTCGTTGTCACTGGGTTTCCAGCTGCTTAATGCATTAAGTTGCTTTCATCGATTCCAAAAGCTCCAAAGCTTAGATCTGGTCCATATTATGGTCTAAATGGATAAAGTTTCCAACTTTATCCATTAAGACCGTGACATCCCCATTTTCTCGGCCAGAAAAGACCGATTTTGTTTATGCTTTATAAAAATCAGAGTACCTCTTTTAATAAAAATGTTGCGGAATTTGTTCCCAGAAAAAAAAAACATGATAAATACGTTATCAAAGCATTTCCGAAGAAATGTGTTTTTATCCATTTTAAAACATTTGG